ATAATAAGTTAATTGAAAAACTAAATTGGAAATATTTAAAATAGGATCACCCTTGGAACAATAAGCTAGTGAAATTTAAACATGCAGAACCAATTACTTCAACAGTTGCCAGGGAAAGTTTATTATTGTTATAACCAGTTATAAAGAATACTACCCCCTTTTAATACCTAAATGCTTAAAGGAACTCCACTGAGGTCCTAAAGCCTAAAAACATAAAATTTGAATTTCTTACATAGATCAGATATTGAAGAACTATACACAGAGTATTTTTGTGTTATTCTTTAAAGATTGATTTGAGTGAAAAGCATTGCAATGCTTTTCAATTTTGGGTTATTTTTCACAATTAAGATACATATAATCATTCTGGAAAAACAGAGTTGGCTAAGCAAATGACCATAAAAATTGCACTAACGTTATTGGTGTATACCCGTACATCAAATAGGCCATTCAAATTTATGTCAAGTCCCATTTTGCCAAAAAAACCTCAGTGGAGTCCCTTTAAGCTTTTTCTAAAATTTGGACCAAATTAATGAATGAAATTTTTCCTGCCAACGATTTTAATATGATATAGATTACTTATCTTGTTTTAAACTTGTTTGTGATACCAACCCTTGAAGTTTATATTGTTTAATACAAAACAAATATTAATTAATTGATGTCAATCATTGTGATATATAATGTTCAATACAAGACATTAATTTAACATTCCTGCCTAACATCCAATATGGAACCATGTCTAGTCCATACATTCACCGGCCTAATATTAATTTAGTAATCAAAACTCTCAAAAAGTAGGATTTTTTCTGTTTTTTTCTGGCAAATTTTCATCATTTTTATCTTAACAACTTATGATAAATCTTTTAGAAGAATGTCCAAAGCAAAGTCTTGGAGTACACACCAAGAATTGTTTAATACCATGCCATAGGTCTAATAAAATACTGGTATTTAACTTAATATGCCTTAGGTGCAGAACATTACAGTACAAAGTCTAAAATATTACCGGTAATAAGATTGATTTTCATTCCTCAGACAGAGGGACAATTGACAAAGACATGTAGGTTCAATACTGAAAACCCAGAGATCCATCAAGTCTGGTTTGATAATCATGTCTGAGGTATAATGAAAATACTTGGGAATAACAAGGTTCAGTACAAAGCTGATATCCCAGAGGTTCAGTACAAATACTGAGGCTAAAAATACTCATGTCTGCTGTTATAAGTCAAATGCCTGAGGTTTGATACTCAAAAAACCAATGCCTGATGCCAATGTCTGAGGGTGGACTTTCAAGCCTGAGGTCAGACACTCATGCCTAAAAAATATGCCAAAGTTTCAAGCTAGAAGTGTAAGACTTAATGAATTGGCCTGCCCAAGATTAACCCTGAGCCTGCTGGAACTGGAAATGACTTGCCTTTGTACCCATTATAGAGCCAGGCCACCATTATACAGCCAGGCCAGCCTGTACATCCATGCAGTCTTAACAGGAACTAAAATACAATTTTAAAATGAACAGACTTTTCTAAACACACACACAGAAGGGCAAAACCATTATATCAATTAAGCTCAAGTAAAGGGTTTAAACACCGGATCATTAAAAATTGTTGATCTGGTGAGATATCAGTATTTCAGTTTAATGTATTTCTATTGAAAATCTTTAAAATCAAAATCATTAAGATCATATTTAGTGGTTTGACACAATATAGATGGTTAAATATTTAAAGATAAATTTGCCTTATCATTCTTGATTCAAAGATTGCTAAATATTTCTTTAGTACTTTATGTCCATTTAGTGTCAAATTTCAAGAAGCCTTGGATTTATATTTAAATATAAAGTGGGTGAAATAAATATGAATTTGTTTGCATTCAAACATAATTATGTCATTTAAAAATATCATTATTTTGAAAAGAAAGATACAATATGATGAGTCTTTTCAATCTTTTTTTTTTTTAAATTTCAAACTGATACTTTTGCCACTCAGCTGGCATTGTGCTAAAACACTGACACTTATCTTTAATATTCACTGGGTGGCCAGTGAGAGAAAAACAAAGCCTCTGAGCTCTTCTTTGACCTTGTGAGTCACAGTAGACCCATCAGGCAGTACAAACTGCATGCCTGTAGGAGCTGACCAGATTATTTACTTTTGATTGCCCAGCATTTTTCATTCTTTTCTTACATTAAATCATGTATATTTATTCTAAGGCCATTGAAGCAGTTATATATATTAATTTTATATTAAGTCTGCTTCCAAGTAAATTGTGCTTATTAATATCAGAATTAGTGTTAATGTTATGAGGACACATGGCTGCATGAATGTGCATCAGTAGGATTGTACTCGGGATACCCTGGTTAAGATATGCCTAAATCACGTAAGCTATATTTTTTCCCTTATTTAAAAATTATCCTGTAACCTCCAACTGCCACCCAACATACAAACACTGCTGCCCCAACATAACACCCCCCTTGCCCCACCAACAAAAGAATCAACAACATTTATTTCTTAAATAAACAAGAGCCGGTTGAACCGGGTGATGCTCCCCGAATAGGTTTTGGACACAGGAAGGTATACCTCTTGTTTTGCACAGACAAAGTTCAAAGTGTAAAAACAACCCAAATATTGTGCATAACACATTGTCTCAATATGGTGATCATTTTTGTGAAATAGTTGTAAAATCCGACTTCAAATAACGAAGTAATGCGCCGGACATGATTTTGCTGCAAGGTCATGCTGTGACCTTGACCTTCAAGGTAGGGACCCAAATGTTGCATGCAGCACGTCGATTCAATATGGTGATCATCTCTGTGAAATAGTTGTTAAATCCCACTTCCAGTAACAAAGTTATGGGCCGGACACGATTTTGCTGCAAGGTCATGCTGTGACCTTGACCTTCAAGGTAGCGACCCAAATGTTGCTCGTGACACAATATCTCATTGAGGTGATCATTTCTGTGAAATAGTTGTAAAATCCGACTTCAAATAATGAAGTTATGTGCCGTACACTATTTTGCTGCAAGGTCATGCTGTGACCTTGACCTTCAAGGAAGCGACCCAGATGTTGCGCATGACACGTCATCTCAATATGGTGATCATTTCTATGAAATATTTTTAAAATCTGACTTCAAATAACAAAGTTATGGACCAGACACGATTTTGCTGCAAGGTCATGCTGTGACCTTGACCTTCAAGGTAGGGACCCAAATGTTGCGCGTGACACGTCGTCTCAATATGGTGATCATTTCTGTGAAAAAGTTTTAAAATCCGACTTCAAATAACAAAGTAATGGGCCAGACACGATTTTGCTGCAAGGTCATGCTGTGACCTTGACCTTCAAGGTAGCGACCCAAATGTTGCGCGCGACACATCGTCTCAATATGGTGATTATTTCTGTGAAGAAGTTTTAAAATCCGACTTCAAATAATGAAGTTATGGGCCGGACACAATTTTGCTGCAAGGTCATGCTGTGACCTTGACTTTCAAGGAAGCAACCCAGATGTTGCGCGCGACACATCGTGTCGATATGGTGATCATTTCTGTGAAATATTTTTAAAATCTGACTTCAAATAACAAAGTTATGGACCGGACATGATTTTGCTGCAAGGTCATGCTGTGACCTTGACCTTCAAAGTAGCGACCCAAATGTTGCGCGTGACACGTCGTCTCAATATGGTGATCATTTCTGTGAAAAAAGTTTTAAAATCTGACTTCAAATAACAAAGTAATGGGCCGGACACGATTTTGCTGCAAGGTCATGCTGTGACCTTGACCTTCAAGGTAGCAACCCAAATGTTATTAGCGACACATCATCTCAATATGGTGATCATTTCTGTGAAATATTTTTAAAATCCGGCTTCAAATAATGAAGTTATGGACCGGACACGATTTTGCTGCAAGGTCATGCTGTGACCTTGACCTTCAAGGTAGTGACCCAAATGTTGCACGCGACACGTCGTCTCAATATGGTGATCATTTCTGTGAAATAGTTTTAAAATCCGACTTCAAATAACAAAGTTATGGGCCGGACAAGATGGACATACGTACGTACGTACGTGCGTACGTACGTACGTACGGACGGACAACCCGACGACTATATGCTCCCCCGAAATTTTTTGGGGAGCATAATAAAAGGATACTTCTGTAACAGCTTCAGTCAAATTAGAAAGAGAAAAAGTTATTATCTATACAATGGGGTATAAACAATTTGATTTGGGATCAAACTGTTTTATACATTTATGGTAAATTTCAAACATTATGTAAACCAGAGATTTTTAAATTAAAGTTTAATCTGTTTGTGTGTAAACATTTGACTGAAATCTTATCTAACCTAGTTTATTAAGTTAAAAATTGATATCTCATTATCTGTAACATATAATCATGAGTCACATTCAGATTTGACCTAAAATATGTTTTATCTTAAGTTTGTTATTCATGTAATAAAATATCCATATGTTAAAGAATTCAAAATAGAAACACATAAAAATCAAAAAATTGTTATATTCACAGTGTTTATAAATCAATTCTTTTTCCTATTTTTTTATATATATATATATAAGGATATTATATTACATAAATAGCAACATAAAACATATTTTAGGTCAAATCTGAATGCGTCCATGGGCACCTTTGGTCATCACTTTACAGATTTGTCCATCTTTAAACCCTAACCTTCCTTAGATAACATTAACAAATTCTACCCAACATCCTCAGTTACCCACAGTATATATTCCTTACATACTTAGTAACTCAGTGTAGATTATGTAATATGTACAGAATATTAACTGTGGGTAACTGACGGTGCCCGTCGACCAGTGTGGACCAACATTATCCTGCACATCTATGCCATCTGATCATGGTCTGAACTAATTTCTATTCATTCAGTATAATTTTTTCGATAATTTCCCAAAAAATGATGAACCTTTTTTTTTTGCAGTTTTTTTTTTGGCTTTTTTGCTTTTTATATTAACCGCTTTATACTTTTTTTTCTTCACAATTGTACTCTCTGATTTACCTGATCGTTTCCTCTTTTTCCTGCCCATTGTTTTTTGTCTTCTAATGATCCATTGCAATTATGAAATGTTAATGTCCATGCTTCTCTCTAACACACTTATTAACTGCTGTATTACTTTGTCACTGTATGTACATTTAAATTATCTTCCTTTCTTTATTATTAACTCCTTTTCAAAAGTTTTAAACAATAAGCCATCATTTCCTATTTCAATAAATTTCTATGCATTAAAACATTCTAACTTTACGATTTTTTTCCCCTAATTCATGTGGTTATTTTTGGAAGTATGCATATAATAAACGACCAAATTTAACACAAATGAAATAGGTCAAACGTTGCAGTATTTCTTTACCCCTCTGATTTATTTACGATCCGAGCCATGATAAAGATTATAACCAAATATCTAAATATCCTTGAAACAATCGACGATCGGCTTATTAAGAAAACCGTGTCAATATGTACCGAAAAAAAAAATAGTACTGATCATTGGGCAATATAATCTATTGGTACTTGAATTTAATCTTCTTTAACAACAAGTAAACTTAAATACTTGTAAGAAAATTAAAAATTCAATATAGTGAATTTGAATAGGTAGAGGTCATTTGATCTGAAATTTTCATATCAAATTTACATACAGGTCAATCAGTTAGTGCCTCTTTTTAAGATTTTAACTTATCGGATTTTTTTTTTTTTAAATATAATATGACTAACAGTCTTTATAATACTTATTTACAACAGGTAAATAAAACTTTAAATTTTACTTGTATTCAGTATTCTTTTATTGTCAACCTGTCTTAAATTTCTTTAGTGTAATTATACATGTCTTTGTCGAGCTAAATATAATCTGTTGAATACAAAAACTACAATCCGCTACGTTTCAATAGTGACTATTGAATTTCATTGGACTAACAGAATAGATATGAAAACATGATTTACAGTTTTTAAGGAGATTATAGTTTTACTAATATAAATAAGATATAAAAGTAGTGTTAATAATTATGTTGATTAACACAAAAGAAACAAATTAATATCTGTAGTTTTAAAGCTACATGCTTCCAGTCTAAGCCAAAAATTATTTTCAATAAGAAAATCAAATTTGAGAAAAATGAACTAAAATTTTAGGAAAAGTAAAGAGATTTAAGATCCAAGTAATAATTAATGACTGATTTTTCAGTATCTATATTGTTATTTTACATGTATTATATTACTGCGTTACTAACACAGTACAGGCTTTTTTTGCATATTTTAAACACTTTTTGGTAATTTACATGGGTTGCAAGTGCCATTGATAATGTATAATTTGCTTCCATTAAGCCTCGGTCTCACTTACTCCCGGCAGAGCCCAGGACCATCCCGGTAATGTATAATTTGCTTCCATTAAGCCTCGGTCTCACTTACTCCCGGCAGAGCCCAGGACCATCCCGGTAAGTTACCGGGATGATCCGGGACGATCCGGGATGAAATTATTGTTGCGGTCACACTTACCCCGGCAGCACTACGGTAGTTCCCTACTAACCACCCAGGATGCGCTCCGGATCATCCAGGCAGAGCCCAGGTGAAGCTACGGTTCATGCCGGTGCTTCCCCGGTCGTTCCCGGATGAGGCCGGAAGAGCCCCGGTTGACCCAGGCAGAGCCCCAGTCGATCCAGGCAGAGTCCCGGCAGAGCCCAGGACGATCCAGGCAGAGCCCCGGTAGAACCCCGGTGATTTGAAAACGCCCGAAAATAATAACATTGATAATAATTTTTATTTAATATAATATCAGATTCTATTGTTCCAGAATAGTAATTCATGATGATTTTCTGAAAAATCCTTATGCCATACTGGATAGAAGGGAAATGGGAAGGCTTTTAATACAAACAAGTGCAATCATCGCAAATTGTCGTTATTCTTTTGAAATGATCCGGGCTTTGCCGGGACTTTACCGGGATCAACCGTAGCTCTACCTTTATCATCCGGGGCTCTGCCTGTAGTTACCGGGGCTCTGCCGGCATATACCGGGGCTCTACCGTAGCTCTACCGTGGCTCTACCGGCTATATCATACCCCGGATCATCCCCGGTTTGTGCCGGCAGAGCTACGGTGCTTTCCCGGTATAACCCCGGTCGTTCCCGGCAGAGCTAAGGATGAAGCCGGCAAAGCTATACCTTCCCGGATCATCCCGGACCACCCCGGTGATATTAAATATTTTATTCCATCTGGAGTCGAATGCCGGATGTTCCCGGATCATCCAGGATCATCCAGGACGTTGCCGGCAGAGTTACGGATGTACCCCGGTTGTTCCCGGGCGTACCCCGGTCGTTCCCGGATCACCCCGGACATCTACCGGGGCTCTGCCGGGGCTCTGCCGAGATGTAAGTGAGACTGTAGCTTTAGGTAAATACTTCACAATATTATACTTTTAAATACATTTTCAGAAATTTTCAATTTGTTCAAAAAGGGGAAACAACTCAGTAAAAATAAATGCAAGGGTTGTGGATCTTGACCAGTGACTTGTAATATGACACTGAAGAAAATAATGTAAGTTGATGTGGGTGAATTTTTTTAGTTGTTTAGGGGACAAAACCTATAGACATGTATAAATGCTTTAAACCAGGTGCATTTAAAATATAATTTCATTGAAATTGTGCAATAAAAAATGTAACCATAAGCCCAATCTTATAACTTTAAACCCAGTTTGAACTTTTCATTGTTGTTTTAACTCAAAATTTAATCAACCTTATAACATTATCTTCTATTTGGCATTATCTTAGCCTTTAAATATTCTGAAAGATTCTTTTATTGTATGTGTATGACTTATCAATCTTATCTTAATTCAATTTAAAATTTCAATTAAATTTTCATTGATAAGCACAAGTCATCATTCTTCTATAAACCCTCATTCTGCCCTAATTTTCATTAACAATTAACCCTTAACCTACAAAATTTGCATAATTGCTTTGCCCTGCTTTAAATGTAGAACAGTCTATAAAATTTTTAAAGAATTTCATTATGGAAATACAAAATGTAAGCTAGTAACAAACAGTACTGAGCCTTGGCTGATTCCAAAGAAGTGCAGGCTGGCCGGGCTATATAATCGTGGGTAAGGCTTATCACTTTCAGATTCCACAGGTGAAAGGTGAATCATGTTGACATCTAACCCATTGGCATTTTTAGTTCAATTCCTGTGTAATATTTGCATTGCAAACAGAAAATAAAGAAGTTGATTCCATCTTAAGCCTTTTACATTTCAAATATCATAACCAATCAACCTAACCATTTGTAGGGAAAATTTCAACACATTTACTGACTGAATATGGGACATTGCAGACCAGTATGGCAGTCAAATAGCAAACAGTGCAGACCATCATTATATAACAGTAAGTCTACAATGGTGGCATGGGTAGATTTTGTTGTTGCCAGCAGGCTAAATGTAAAAGTGACTTCTTTTTTTATTAGAATTATACTTATGGCCACTCTAATGGTCTCCTACAGCTAAGAAAACCAAGCCAATCTTGAAAATAATCATAAAAGTTCTAGTTTTTTTTGTTTTGTTTTGGGTTTTACGTCACATTGACACAGTATAGGTCATATCGCAACGTTCCAGCTTTACTGGTGGAGGGAGACCTCAGGTGCCCTTCCGTGCATTATTTCAGGCACGAATGGGCACCTGAGTAGCTGGTCTAAGTTTCCTCACATGAAAGAATCCAAAGTCCCTGTCGGGATTTGAACCCACAGCGGTGAGGGGCAAGTGATTTGAAATAAACGACCTTAATCACTCGGCCACGGACGCCCCAAAAGTTCTAGTAAAAGCCAACAAAATAACAAACCAAGAAATTGGGATTTACCCTTAGCCGTGACCTGTGCAGACAAAGATAAGCTAACATGTACATGTAGTGTAATTATCAATGTACATATTTTTTTACTGTGACAGGAAAAAATATTGTTAAAAAGCAGCATAATTACAGAGTTTTGGAAGCCAGAAATAGTTCAGCACTTCTCCCTATTCCATCAGTACATATTTTGAATATCTCCTCAAAGGATGATTGAATGGTTTTGTCCAGATTGAACGATGGACAAGTCTATGTAAGATATTTTGTGGGTTTAGAATTAATAAAGCTACAGCTTTTCTCATCCTACATTTTCAGATTGAAAAACTTTTTAAAAATGTCTGCTTGATTTTAATTAAGAAATGATAAATATAGGCTTTCACCTTCTAATAGCTTAGTGTTCTCCTGCCCCCTTCCCCAAGAGCTTTGATAAACCATTAAATTTTGTAACATAATTTTATAAATTTTATTAGCATGATGTACAATTCTACTATTTTGACAACAAATAAATTTGTGAACTTTGAAATAAACTTCCTCTAAATCAGTAGTTCACAGTTAGGGCAAAACTTAAATAAAATCTCCTAACCATGAATTTTACAAAGGGGTATAATTCAGTCAAAATCTAAAGGCTAGAGTTAAGGAACTTACCAAGTAATATACACAATACATATTACTTCAAAGAAATTTGACTGCAAGCAAACTTTCAGCAATTAGATATCCACAAGGTATGTAACTTGACACATAGCTTAGTATACACTTTTTGAAAATTGTTTTGTATCTTCTATAAAAGTCATATTTTGCTTTGTTACTTTCAAATCAAACATGTTATAAATACTGAGTCCCCTACCTTTCACTTCTATAGCAAACTCAAAGGGATGATATAAAAAAGCACTTAATAACTAACAGTTTAAACATACAATAAATCTTATCCTTACACCTCATTCCAAAGTTTATGTCAAGTGCACGTCAAAACATACTGTATGAAAAAAGATAATATTTTACTTAATGTTCCAAAAATGGCATAATAACATTCCCAACCTACCCTGCTGGAAGTGAAAGTGATCTGCCTTTACCACCAGTATAGTTAGGGCCAGGCCAACATTCAAATCTATGCAGTCTGACCATACTTTATGCCTTTTTAAAACACTTTGTGCCATTTGACCATACTGTATGCCTCCTTACAAGACTTTATGGCACTTATCAAACTTTACTCCTTTTTAAAACACTTTGTGCCATTTTACCAAACTGTATGCCTTCTTACAAGACTTTATGCAACTTATCAGACTTTATGCTTTTTTAAAACACTTTGTGCCATTTTACCAAACTGTTTGCCTCATTACAAGACTTTATGCCACTTATCAGACTTTACTCCTTTTTAAAACACTTTGTGTCATTTAACCAAACTGTATGCCTTCTTACAAATCTTTATGCCACTTACCAGACTTTATGCCTTTTTAAAACACTTTGTGCCATTTTACCAAACAGTATGCCTCCTTACAAGACTTTATGGCACTTATCACACTTTACGCCTTTTTAAAACACTTTGTGCCATTTTAACAAACTGTTTGCCTCATTACAAGACTTTATGCCATTTACCACACTTTACGCCTTTTTAAAACACTTTGTGCCAATTAACCAAACTGTATGCCTCCTTACA